TGGTATGACATTAGATGAGATGAAGAAATTTATATTACAGTTAGAAGCTGATAGACGCGACGGAATTAGAGGTAGAAATACTGCAGCCTTAGTTAATGTGGCCAGTGGAGGAGGCGCCTCTGGCCCCGTTACTGAGACATGCCACCGCTGCAACAAGTCGGGACATGTCGCAGCACAGTGTCCCTTGACTTAGTATAACTTGTGGTACTGTTTTGCTTGCAAGCAGACAGTGCCACACAAAAGCAACGAATGTGTCTTTTACAATCAAGAGAAGCACGACAGACACCAAACCCGCAAGGGAAATAGAGGCGACAGGTATGAAGGATATACTAATAACTTTGAAAATAGAGGCTCAAGGGGAGGTGGCAATAACAATTATAGAGGAAGAGGCAATAGAAGTAATAGACGTAATAGAGATAGAGGTAACAGGGGTAGAGGAAATTTTAGAGGCAGGGGTAATGTAAATAAAAAAGGAAACCTTCGTCCCTATACTCCCTACAACTCCCATGATCAAAGAAAATTAGCCAACGCAGCTCAAGCAGCTGTGCAAGGTGAGAAATTAACAAATATAAATAAAGATAAGGTAACTTTTCTAGCTGATTCTGGTGCAACTGAGCACATCGTAAATAAAGGACTAATTCTAGAAAATTTCAAAAAATGCTCTGATTCTTTTATTAGAAGTGCAAACAAAAATAAATCAGCTGACATAGAGATAGATGGAAAAGGTGATTTATATATCAACAAATTAGACAAGGAAGGTTACCCTATCAAACTTACAAATATACTTGTAGCTCCTGATATTACTGAAAATTTATTATCCGTTAGACGCTTTGTAAATTCCGGTTTAGGAATTTATTTGGATAATTCTAAACTCCGTATTTTTCATAAAGAGACTGATTTCACATACCTCACAGGTATTTATAAAAGGCCTAACTGGCTTGTTGAATTAGACGTTAAAAATTTAAATTTAAATATAAAAGAAAATTATTATCAAAAATACACTTGTGAGGCTAGAATTATCAGTATAGATGAACCCACTCAACTAAGAGATAATAAAGAAAATGAAAGTAACGAAATTGAGAGTGGGAGGGAGTATAACTTAGATCAGATCGTACCCAAACTTAATCAATACAATGAATTTAAAAACTTTGATATTATCGACATAGACAATCTCAAACAAAATGTTAAAGTAGAGACTTATTTGAATCTTTTGAATTAGAAAAACTATATACTGAAGAATTAGATAAAGGTATGTTATGGCATATCAGGTTAGGCCATCCATCATTAGGATACCTTGAAAAACTCAAGAAAATAGACAAACGCTTAGAAAATGTAGTATTTGACAAAAACATAATGAATTGCGAAGTTTGTATAATGGCGAAAATGAGTAGATTACCCTTTTTAAAGATCAGAATTAGAGCTGATCAACCACTTAAACTTACACATACTGATGTGATGGGTCCCTTCAAACCGATATCACATCCCGGAAATAAAAGATATATTATAGCTTTATAGACGATTATACTAAATTTGCTAAGTCATATGTTATCAAACACAAGTCAGATTCCGGTGACTGCTTAGAAGATTATTTAAAAACAATGAGAAATTTAGTAGGTAGAGAGTTGAGAGTATGTTATATTAGAGCGGATAACGGCACTGAATTTACCGGCGGAAAATTTAGCGAGATAATGAATAGAGAAAATATAGAGTCAAACTTTTTGAACCCATATACACCTCCACATAATGGTACAGCAAAAAGATTTAATAAAACCCTACAAGAGAAAATGAGATCTCTCATATTTGATTCAGGTCTCCCTAAAAGTATGTGGAATATTGCATTAGAAGTAGCAGTAGATTTGTATAACAGAACGCCAAATTCATCAATTGATTTTCAAACACCTTTAAAAATGATTTCACCAAACAGCAAATGTCATTTGGACAAAATTAGACGTTTTGGTAGTATAGCTTACGCTAGGAAACCAATTACAGAAACAAAGTTATCAGAAAAGGCAATTAAAGCGATTTTAATTGGTCAAACTGCAAATGGCTACATGCTTTGGCACCCTCAATCAGGTAAATTAATTCATTCTAAACATGTAAAAATTGACGTTTAAAAATATACACAAAGTCAAAAAAAATAAACATTAACTTAGAGCCAACAGAAATCGAAGAAACTGTAGACGAAAACCAATTAAATCTATATCCAGAAAATCCCGTAGAAATAGAAAAGGACGTTCCTAATGAAAAGACAAAGGTCAGAACAAAAACTCTCAAACGAAAAATAAACAAAGATAATGATCAAGGAAAATTAGATGTAGAAACTAGACAGCAACCAAAGAGGAGTGTTAAAGTACCCAAAGACTTTAAAGCTATGTCAGAGGGTAAAGCAAATTTCACAGATAATAGTTTTGCTTTTCTTACTTCATTCGCAGAAATAGATGAGTTAGATGAAAACAATAAAATGTATATTCTAATGGCTATAATAAATTCAGAACCTGCAAATTACTCAGAAGCCATGAAAAGCGATAGTAGAGAATTTCAGAAAATTGGAGTTAAAAAGGAATTAGACTCAATGAATAAAAATGAAGTTTGGACATTTGTAATAAGACTCAAGGTAGACTCAAAAGGTAGAAAACTAATTATTATTGACAATAGATGGATTTTCAAAATAAAATTAGATACAGACGACAACCAAGAATTTGAATGTAGAATCGTAGCTAGAGGTTTTAAAGATACAAATCAATATGAGATAAGAGAAATATACGCACCAGTTGCCAGACTTTCAATAATTAGAGCTATGTTAGTAATATTAAATAAGTTAGACCTAGAAATTTATCAACTAGATGTAAAAACTGCTTTTCTTAATGACGAATTAGATGAAGAAATTTATATGGAAATTCCACAAGGTGTAGAAGTTAGTGAAGAATTTAGAAAAACGCACGTTTGCAAATTACGTAAAGCTCTGTATGGTCTGTCAGTCCTAAGAAATGGAACCAAAGATTCAATGAAGAAGTAGAAAACTGGGCATTCAAAGAGACATTGAACCGTGTTTATTCACTTATAGAAAACTTGGTATTCTTATTATCTTACTATTATACGTAGATGACATTTTATTGGCAGGAAACAATTTGAGTAAGTTAAAAGAAATCATAGACCATCTTAGCAAAGTGTTTGAAATGAAAAATTTAGGTGAACCCAAAGAATACCTTGGAATGCAAATAACTAGAGATAGAAAGAATAAAATAATGACATTAAAACAGAGTAAATATATAGAGAAAATTCTAGAGAGATTTAATATGAATGAAAGCAAACCACAAAGTACTCCTATGATCACTAGACAAGTTCGAAGCAGAGAAAATAATGAGAGTGAAAATAAGATAATAGAGAACAGACAAATAGATGCCCCATATAGAGAAGCAATAGGTAGCTTAGCTTATCTCGCAAATGTCACTAGACCACATATCGCATTTGCAGTAAATTATCTTTCTAGAAAGCAATCTAATCCCTCATTAGAAGACTGGACTGATGTTAAAAGAATATTTAGGTATCTTAGAGGTACGTCAGACTTAGAATTGATTTTTAGAAGTAAAGAAGATGATTTGAAAATATAGACTGATGCCAGTTTCAAAGATAACATTGATTCCACTTCAACGAGTGGATTGGCTATAAATTTGTTTGGTGATACTATCATGTGGAGAAGTCACAAACAAAATAGAGTGTTGGCATCTACATGTCACACTGAGTATTATGCTATGAGTGAGGCATGTGACGAAGCTATTTCATTAGATAAAGCACTTAGAGACATGTTAGGTAAAACAATGTATCCCATAACTCTGTATTGTGACAATAAGTCAGCTAGAGATTGCACACAGAAAGAGGGTAGCCATAAACTTAAAAACTTTGACGATGACTTGACAACTATTAGAAAGAAATTAGAAGAGCGTGAAAAATCAGGTGTGAAGGAAAATCTTACAGAAACTCATGGTGATTATATTAAGCAGTGTGTATCTGAAGGAAAAATTAGAGTAAATTGGGTTTCAACTAAAGAAAATATAGCGGATATATTTACAAAGCCTATTCCTTTTGATGCATTCAAAACATTTAGAGATAAATTACTAAATGTGTAATTAACAATAGATGTAATTTATGTGTATTTATTTTTCCAGAATCTGAAGACTAATATCAAGATTTAAATATGAAGGAATAGACTATTTTTAGATTTTTTATATATTTGATACTAGAGTATTTTGATAACTGATGATAAAATAAAAAAAATATGTTTCTTTTGTTTCTTTAATTAGAGTTATTAGATTGAAAGATTTAACTAGATGATATTTTGATTTAAATATTTATATTATTTACACTATTATTAAGACAGATTGACACATATGTGTTCATTGAAATTGTGATCAAACAAGAAAGATTGTATTACTATTATGTTGAGTCGAATTGTATTAGTATATAAGCACTTATAATTGTATCAAGATTGTTCAGAAGGGAGGGAGTGTTGAAATAAAGGCTTCCGAGCCTTCTTAATATATATATGTATTGGCGCATGCGCTACACGCGCGCCACTGGTGGTCTCGCTGCTGTGCAGCACTCTGAGATGGATAGCCGAAGAAGCCGGACATGCCTTGCTCTCCAATAAAAACCTTTGTGTAGATTACTTTAGATTAATTACTTTCAAAAACCTTTGACTATCCAAATCCAACAATTACAATATCTCTTTCTTTGGACTTTTACTTTTACTACTAAGCTACATATCGAATTGTACTTGAAAATATATAATCAGTACTTCCCGAGGCTAACATAAATTTAATATGCTGATGACCAAACAATAGCTATATATTGTACAATTGAGAATTGTCTTATTTTCCCTCTTTATAACAAAACTAATTTGAAACGCGGTATTCGGACACGGTATAATGATAGAACAGCCACAAGTGTACAACACACCTAGATGCGTTACGAATAAGAGAAAAAGAAGTTTGAGATGGGTCACCGAATGCTTATCGCTGACTGCCTGGATCCTTTGTACCTGTTGAGAACCTACAGCGCAACTAGCAGGTAACTTACTAGTTAACTTGCATTATTTCTTATTCTTATGTCGTGACCACTGACCGGACTTCCGTAGAATGAAGATATTATATGTGTGTTTGATTATTGCTTGACCCTTCTTACTTAAAAACAAACATGTATTCTTATTTTCCAGGTTAACGCCTTAACGGGCGTTTAAACAAACAAACAAACGCACGCACACACACGCACACACACACACGCCATGTATGTTCGCCGACTGTACTTGATTAAACGTTAATGGACGATAGCGGTGAAAGTGGTGAAGATAGCGGATCACTAAATACTGCAACATTTCTTACTAATAATAACATAGCTACTTCATACATTAGCATGCAGTCAGATGATATGGAAGGTTAAATTATCTATTGTATTTATTAATTTTTTTAGATAATTTTTCAAATTTAAGCAGAATATCTGAAAATTTTGTATTTTAGAACTGGTTAATAATATTAATTATTTTTCGCAGATGATCCTGAAAATACAGACGATTCAAACCCTGGTAATTGTGATCCACTGCAAGGAATTAATACCAATTCATCAAGTGGCCCATTAAGGGAACAGGACAGATTTTTACCTATAGCAAATGTGGCAAAAATTATGAAAAGAGCTATACCTGAAGCTGGTAAAATAGCCAAAGATGCCAGAGAATGTGTTCAGGAATGTGTGTCTGAATTTATTTCGTTTATTACATCTGAAGCTAGTGACCGTTGCCATATGGAGAAAAGAAAAACTATAAACGGTGAAGATATTTTATTTGCTATGACAACTTTAGGGTTTGATAATTATGTTGAACCTTTAAAAGCTTATTTACAAAAGTACAGAGAAGCTACCAAGGGAGATACACCTACAACAAATTCAGGGATTTCTGGTAATGAAGACAGGAAAAGTGATCATGCCCACTCAAGAGTCTATGAAGATCAAATTTTTACTATTACTACTGCAGGAGATGCAACTGCTTCAGAAACTCCAATTATTTATAGTTATTCAACAGCAGATCAAATGCAATTTCATCTTAATTAATTTTGAAAACAAGTGAAAATATGTTTTATGCCTTTGAAATATAGTAATAGATATATAATTACCTTTTGTTTCTATACACATAAACTTCTGCTTATAAAAACTATAACAATAGATCAATTCATATTAATGTAAAGTAAGTCATTTTGTAATTTTTGAAATTCAATGAGCATTAATACAAATAAATTCTAAAATTTTCACACTGTGTTATATATTATTCAATTTTGCAAAATTTACTTTTTCTTGAGGTCTTGTCACTCATCAATATAGATGTATAATTAATGAAATTATATTAAGAATATTTTTGATATCAAAATTGTACAATAAATTTAAAAAATGATTAATTATAGTTAAGGTAAGATAATTTATTATCAGCAAATTCTTTAAACTTTCACCAACTAAATAAAATAAGCTATTGAACGGAATCGTGACAAATACTCTCATTTTTGTGTATTTATAAAGGTATTCTAAAATTTCAACTAAAACCACTTGATAAATAAGCAAATCTATTATACAATTGAGAAGATTTTAGGTGGATTATAAGATATTCTTAAAAACATCCATTAAATGACGTATCAAAATTTTATTTGCAAATAACTTTCTGATGAATTTTATTAATGGACTGAGAGAGTATTATAACTATCTTTTAAGTTGAAATTTAAAGGTATACAGGATCTTAAAATAATATTTATTCAATAACTTTGTTATGTAAAACAATAACCACATTAGATATATAAAGAAAAATTATATTAGATATAAGAAATTCACTTCATTTGAAATATTTTGATACATTGTTATTTGATTTTTGTATGGAATAAAGGTGTATGTAATAAAATGTGATGATAAATCATAATTTAATTTATTATAGAAATCCAATAAGTAGGTTACAGTGTTTATTTAGTATAAAAGGAAAACTATTGTAATGCGTAATTATTGAATGGTTTACTCAAATGAAAATATTAACATTTCTGAACTTAAATGACTTGAAACTGCATTGCAACAGAATAAAATATAATAAAAAATTCCAATTATTAGAGGTTTTTCAAATTTTTTCATTTACTTATTTAGATTTTTGTTTTCCGGAAGTTCGCAATATTTTTTCAATTTCAAACTGTCTTGAATCAGTTCTTTGCAAGAAATCTTGTCGTTCCAAGTATCCATTCTTACCTCGATTAAAATTAGTTATTTCTTCGTTAAGATTATGTTCTTCTTTAAATTCATTCCAGTCTTGTTTTGACTTTTCTAATGTAGACACTTTAGACTTTTTAGAAATTTTGCTCAAAATATTTAGAAGACCTCTTCTTTTCAAAGCATTAGGCTGCTGTGTAAAAATTTGAGCTTTGATGTCATTGTTAAATACATTATTTTTTATTTGTTTACATTTATTAGATTTTGTAATATTTGAATCATGATCATTTTCTAAATAACTATCTTGTTTAGCCATTATTTCTTTTGACATCTGTAAGCTTTCTGTTGATTTATATGAATCATGCTCACAGTTTTTTGATTCTTTGCCTAAAATTGAATGATGATTATATAAAAACTTAACTTTAAAATGGTCAATAACAATAAATTATTTGCTGTAAAAATCTACAGTGAACTTACTGTAGCTCTACAACTTTCAATTGATAATTTTGCTATGACATAATGTGTGTGTGTCTGTGTGTATGCATGTGTTTGTGTGTGTATATGTCTGTATGTGTATTTTAATTGACTATTGATATATATGATGTTAGACATACCATTGTTATAACTTTTTATAATTTTGTTTTAAACTTAATGATAATTCAGAACAGAAAACTTTTGTTAATCATCTTTTCAATGGTACAATGATAACATCATCATTAGTTCCAAAAATCAAATGCTTATAGAATATTGCTTTTTGATAATTTTTTAATTCTTATAAATATTCATTAATTATTTCCTTAAAATTACAAGATATTATAGCTTAAACATATACAGTTCTATACTATACACTATTGTAACTCTGTATTATTTATATTATGTATATTTTGATAAATGTAATAAAGGAATTTTTCGTAAGTAAATACTTAGATTAAAATTTTTTTCACTCTAGAGATCCATTTTTTAAGTTTAAAACATGTATCACATATTTCTTATAAAAAATAATTAATTTTCATCTGATTACTAATATAATATTATACTTTTTAACAAAACTTTCTAGCAAAACTTAAATTGAGTATTTTCTATAAAATTAAAAATTTTTACCTGTGCATTTTAAAAAACTATTCCACAGTAAATCTGTTCTTTCTTTATCTTTTTCATGAGTTAATTCAATAGTACCTCTGTTTTCATTTTTCTTGATATCTAAATCACAAACTCCAGTTTTCTTTGATGAAGATTGCCTTTTGTTTTTTATTCTCTTCATTTTCATATTATGTTTTACACTGGAAGTAGGAAGTTCATTAGAATCACTAACCGTACTTTCGCTTTCAGAGTTTGAAAATTCATTAGTTAAATTTTCTGAAGATATTTTGAAGTCAGGATCGTCAGAATCCGAACCATCAAAATTTTTCTGTTCCATTATATTAGTTATTTCTCAATCAACTGGCTTGATCACTAATCTGTGCAAAAACAATTAGATGAATTACTGATTCATTTCTTAAAAATGATGATTTAGAAACATATTCAGGGTGGAAATAATTTCTACTTTTATATTATGTTCAAAATTCTGTAGGCTACTCTGTGAATGCCTTTTGTATAAAAACTAGTTCAGTAGAAAAAACTCTTTAAATATTCACGTAAATCAAATATTACAAAAATAGTTGTAGTTAAAGTCAAATTTTCAATGACACTGCAAAATATAACATGCAATACATAATTTTTTATAGCTATGTCTACATTTATATAAAATGCTAATTTTTCGACACTTTTCCCTACATAAACATTACGATAAAAGAATAGTTTTCTACAGTTTTATTATCTATTGACCAAAACACTGTAGACAAAATGAAGATTATAAGCATTTTAAACAACATGAGAATTTACACAGGCACAAATTCTACTATCTACTAACACAATACATATAATAAAGACAACATGAAGGTGATAAGCATTCTAAACCTGTTTTAAACAACTTAAGAATTTACAACATTACATAGGCATAAACACTGGACAAAACTAAAAAAATATAGAACAGGGCGTTTACAAAACGATTATGACATTTTAAAAATGACACTAAAGGCGTTTAGGGTATCCACAGAAGGAATCTGACACTCACTAAATGACACGAATTCTGACATGATAAGTATACATAAAAGGATATTTTATTTGAAAAACCCTCGAAATGTATAAATAATCATCTCAGTAGCATTCTTGAGGATCAATTATGATAATAAAATATCTCAATAATTTTTGTGTGAGCGCAGATTTCAAATTACACAGAATGACATAGATAACCGCTTTATTCGTGTCATATATATGATTTAAAGACTAACATTTTGCGGAAAGTTGTTATATGTATTCTATTGCTATTATTGTGTTTATAAGATGCTAATTTAAACATCTCGAGTATTTTTTAGCTTAAAAACAACGTATTACGTATATTCCATATGTCAGAATTCGTGTCATTTCGTGAGTGTCAGATTCCTTCTGTGAATACCCTTACAGAACGATTCAGACACTTTGAAAATTACATAATTTCTGATAAATGACAGCTCGAAAATGAGCCATGCGCAACCACTGTATGTAGGACAGTTCTAAGGATTTTCAAGGGCCTTGAATTTTTACACGTATGTAAAATTAGGAGAAAATCAATATTCAATCAATATAGGAGCTGCTAGAGGTAGAGGACGTGCAGGAAAAGCAGAAGAGGATAGAGGTGCTCGGTAGAGGTGGTCATGGTATAAATATGTCACGTCAATACGTGACGTATCATATAAGTAGATATATATACAGGATGTCCAAAAAGTCTGGAAACACCCAAATAACTTTCCAGGTGATTTATTTTTAAAATATGTCAAGAGCACTTTCGAAGTAATTTTCAATAAGGAATTCAACGGAGACCTTGGATTTGACCTTTTAGATGACCTTGACGGTTTTTTTCAAAGTCAGGTCAATTTTTTTAAATGGAAAATTTCTTTTTTGACTTCAGCAATCGAAAGTACGGGAAATTTTACGTTCAAAACCATTGAGATCAAAAATTTCCCGTTGACCTTGAAGGTCATTCAAAGGTCTTTCAATTCTGAGGCTTCTTAGAAGAACTCAATTTATAGAAATAGACCAAAGTTTGCTTTAGTTGTTTTGTTTGATAGCAATTAGCGGTGATCTCAAACTCGACGTTATTTGTATCCTGCAAGGTAATTTGAAGGCCACAGTTTTTTTTCTGATATCGGCAATTGAAAGAGCATAAGTTCCTATACTGTTATTTTTAGTAAGGAACAACTACTGGTTATTGCCCTTTCAAGCTGCTCTGGTATGCTCGTCAAAAAATTTTCCAGTGCAATAGTTTACAATTCAAAGAAATATTTTACTTGTTTCTGAATTTTCATATTCTGATTAGCTTGTGGATTCGGTCTACTGCAAAGAATAGTGCAATGGAGAATGGATCGGAAGGTAATAAAAATAAAGCTCAGGGTCAATTGAGAGTTTACTTTAATAATTAAATAAAAGTAAGTAATGTCGTTTTGTAGTCGACGAAGAGTAAAAGAGAACTGACGCAGTTTCGGCTTTTTTCATAAAACAAAAAACAAAACAAAAGAGGAACAGTGCGGAGACAGAGGCGAAGCGCGTTCAGCAGGAAAAAAGCGTAGAGAGCGCCCTCCTTTCCTTAGCCAAATTTAATGAAGTGTTTTCCGTCGTCATTTCCGCCAAACATCCCGCCCGCCTCATTCCGTGAATGACTCTAAAAAGAATCGCTTCCTTTGCTGAGCTGGCCTTCTGTATTCGGAGTGGGCAGTCTGGCGATCTTGACGACGGGTCGGACGTACTCTCCTGAAGCTGTGGTGATGGTGGCGGTACGAACCGTACCGTCTGGCCCCGGGTGTACAGCAGTGATCCTACCAAGTGGCCAGCGGCCATCTGGACGAAGTGATGAGGGATCTGCGTGTAATAGCGTCGGCGTGCAATGCCGATATATTCACTACTATTACCAATTATTTATAAAGAGGGAAGGCAAGGGAGGCGGTGTATCGCTCCAAGCAAAGCAGGAAGGAGAACAGCGGGTAAAATAACTTCACACACAATTCGCTAACACACATTTATTATAAACGCACTACCACGAGTGCCGACGAGAACACAAATCACTTATTACTATTAACATGCGAACTTATTCTAAACGAGATGACCGGCACGTTAGCGCCATGTCACCTCGTTAACCGGCTTAAACAATTACTTAAATTACACATTGCCGAAAACTACGCCGGCTCGGAAAAGCCTGGCGTAGCAACGCGAACCGTGAGAATCGCCGAGGAAAGGAAGAGATATAGAGAGAGAGGAATCGGTGACCTGACCAAATTGGTGGACGTCGCTGTTGCTGGCAGCCTTGAAGGTGTCCCATCGGCGGCTAGTCTGGAAAACTCCTCGCTGCTGCGCGGCCGGTGATCTGGCAGAAAAGGCTGTCGGGTTCTGCCTCGATGACGGCTTCTTGCAGGGCAACTGCTGCGTCGCTGGCAGAGGAAGTCCCGTCCGGCCGATCTGCTGAGGAATGCTGACTTCTTCCGGACAAAGGGCAGGCAGCGATGGTCACCAGCTAACTCTCGACTGATTGCTGTCGCGCGCGTCGCGTCACTCTCCCTCGCGAGTGCATGAGAGCCGGCTTCTCACGCTTTCTCCCACCACTCGCCTAATCGGCGGCACGCGGCAATGCCCGTCGCGACAAGTGCCGCGCGCCAAGCCCTACACTCAAACTATTGCTTTTCTCTCTCTCTCTCTCTCTCTCTCTCGCACTCTCTCTCTCTCGCACTCTCAATACTCGAGCGCGTCGTTGCGTCCACGGCTTCTCCTTCCACTCTCGTGCATTGCTGAAAAATAAAAAAGCAGGCATCAGGCACGTGATAACAACGTGCGCTTGATGCCAACCGTGCGCCTTTGCCTAGGAAGGAGAGGGAGGCAAGCACACGGTGCAGGCCATGACGGGCCTACACCGTCACATGCGATAACGACAAAATCCCCGACCTGTAGATTAGGCTGAGGCTTCCTCCACTTGGGCCGCTGGATGAGGGTATTTAAATACTCTCGGCTCCAACGGGACTAGAAATGTCCTCTTATGGCTTGAATGAGCGCCCAGTGACTGACATGATCCAATTTTCCGTTGACAGAGATAGGCTCGGGATAAGACGTGGCAGAAGTCCCGATTAAAAAATGACTGGGTGTGAGTGCGTCAAGGTCACCCAGATCGCCTGATGGTGGAACAAGAGGACGGCTGTTGAAAGTGGCTTCAACTGCCACGAGGAGCGTGGCGAACTCTTCGTAGGTGAGACGTCGAGGTGAAGCAACTCGCTGGAGGTGCCGCTTCATCGACTTCACCCCCGCCTCCCAAAGCCCACCGAAATAGGGGGCTGAAGGGGGAATGAAACGCCAGTTGATACCTTCCTTTGCCAGTGTTCCTTCGACAACTCCCCAATCAATCTCGGCTTCTCTGAGGAGTCTGCGGAGCTCAAGGGCGGCCCCGCGGAAATTGGTGCCATTGTCGCTCCAGATTTCAGCCGGCCGACCTCTCCGACCTATAAATCTCTGCAGGGCACCAAGAAAACTGGCTGTGGTGAGGTCTCCGGCGAGTTCAAGGTGGATGGCCTTAGTGCAGACGCAGACGAAGAGCGCGACGTAGCCTTTTACTGTGGACGCGCCTCGTCCCTTGTTGCGACAAAGATGAAAGGGCCCGGCGTAGTCGACTCCACAAGTTGAGAATGGCCTGGCTGGCGACACTCGGGCCGGCGGGAGAGAAGCCATGCGAGGGGGCGAGGTCCTCGCCGCAAGGCGAGCGCAAACAGTGCAGTGGCGGAGGTATCGCTTGATTCTCACCTTCGCCCCGGTAATCCATGCCTTTTGCAGGGCTCGAGCGTAGGTGGCCCTGAAGCCGCCGTGAAGACTGCGTTCGTGTGCCCACCGGATGACTAACTGGGCGAGGTGCGTTGGTCCTGGAAGAAGGATTGGATGCCGCTCGTCGTACGGCAATGAGGAGCGGTCAAGTCGGCCGCCTACTCGAATTACTCCGTCGTTGTCAAGGAATGGCTCGAGAGTTTTCGTCTGACTGCAGCTCTTCAGTTGGTAGCCTCGGCTCAGCTGAGCGAGCTCCTCGGAGAAGACGTGACGTTGAGTAATCCTGGCGCAAGCGATGAAAGCCTGGCGGAACTCGGCTGCTGTGATCGGTGACATTCGTAATGCAGTCTCTCGCCATCTCAGAAGTCGAATGATACGCGTGGTAACTCGTAATAGGCCGTCGAGCGTGGAGAATCGATCGATGTGACTCTTCTCAGAATGCAGTGGCTCGTCCTCAATCTGCACCGTTGCACAAGACACGTGACTGCCATGCTGGCACTCCAGGCGGTCGGAGTCGTTGACCTCGAGCGGCCACTCGCTTGCTGGTTGTGTCAACCAGTCTGGGCCATGCCACCAGATTGGGTGCAGTGCGAGTTTAGTGGAGTCTGTGCCGCGCGATGCGACGTCGGCTGGGTTGCAGCTAGTGGGAACGTGATGAAACGTGATGCCCGTGGAAATCTCCTGCACGTGAGACACATAATTGTCGATGATGTCATGTCCCACTGGCTCGTCCGACCGGAGCCAATGAAGAGCAACTTTGACTTCGCTTCTAGGATGGAGGTAGTGATTTTGCCATCACTGTGGGTGGCTCTGACATAAACGACAGCAGCAATAGCACGTCTGCTGGCGTCTGCGAAGGCGTGCAACTGCATTTCTTGTCCGGGAATACTACCAAACCAGTGGTCAATGGTGAATTCTGCAGCCTCTCGGATGCTGTCGCGAAATGTCAGCCATCTATTTAGCTAGCTGGACGGGAGTCTCTCGTCCCAATCGAATTTCGCTCTCCAAAGATCTTGTATTATGATCTTGGCCACGAGAGTCAGCGGGGTCAACCAACCTGCTAGGTCAAAAAAGGCGGCGAGCTCTACCAGAGCAGTTCTCTTGGTAAGACTTGGAGGTAGATCAACGACTCCAGGGCGAAACTTGAAACGATCCGTCACTGGATCCCAAATGACGCCTAATTCGCACACTGGTCCATCGGTAGAGAGTTGAACCCAGTCTGCCCGTAAACGGTCCTCGGCGGGTATGTCTTCAAGCCGTCCAGGCTCGTTGGCCACCCACTTACATAGATGAAAGCCGCCCGCCCTAAGTAGACCGATAAGCTGATCTCTAAGGCTCCTTGCTGTCTCGAGGTCATGGCTACCACTCAAAAAATCATCCATGTAAAGGTCTCTCTTAAGTAATTCGCGGGCCAGTGGAAACCGATGTCCTTCGTCCTCGCCGAGTTGCTGCAGGGTGCGAAGTGCGAGATAGGGGGCGCAAGCCGTGCCGTAGGTGACAGTCCTGAGAACGAAATGTTTAGCTGGCAAGTCGGATGAGGGGCTCCAGACGATACGGTGACAGTCTCTCTCATCCATTAAGATCTGTCGAAACATTTTTTGAACATCTGCACAAAAAACATATCGGTGCCTTCGCCAGTGTGTGATGATCGTCGCTATGTGTCCTTGTAACTTTGGGCCCGAATGGAGTGAGTCATTGAGACTGAGACCTGTAGAGGTGTCGCGAGAGGCATTAAAAACTACTCTTAGTTTGTTTTCTCCGTCGCTGCGCTGCCAGATGCCGTGGTGTGGGATGTAGAATACTGTCCCTGAGTCCTCTCGAATTTCCTCGGCGGTCAGTGCTCTCATATGACCTAACTGCTCGTACTCCTCCATGAACTGGCAGTAACTGTCGCGTAAAACGAGGTCAGAGCGCATTCGTCGCTGCATAGAAACGAGAGCTGAGCGCGCGTGGGGTAGACTGCTTCCTAGGAGGGCCTTCTTCTCCGACTTTAAAGGGAGTCTCACAGTGTATCGTCCGTCAGATGTTCGTCGGACTCCTTGAGTGAAAAGTGCCTCACATTCACGGTCGGCAGCGGAGATTCGTCGGACCGACGGAACTTCCTCGATAGCCCAAAAACGTTGCACTAGTGCTAGAAGCTTCTCGTGACTTTCTTCGTCGCACACATGTACTGCGGTGGCGAGAGCTCGGGTGGTGTGACTCGTTGATGACTCTAAGATCGCAGTGGATCCTGTCAAGATCCAACCGAATGTCGTATTCTGGGCCAACAAGGAACCAATTCTCCGAGTGCCCGCTAGAATGACACGATGGTAAACGTCCGCTCCGATAACGATGTCGATCCTCCCGGGCTGATCAAAGGTAGGATCAGCTAGTAGTAGTCTGCGACGGAGGTTGGACACCTCAGAGCCGGGAATCCCTGACGACGTAACAATGCCGATTGTCCGAAGAACAACGGCCTCTGCCCGGATGGGTGACCGTCGGCCGACGTCTGCGATATAAATTACTGCTTGAAATTTGGCTGAGTCCATGGCAGGCCCAGTCACTCCCACGTTGGTACGGCGCAGTTGGCAGCCCAGTCTGCGAGCGAAGTCGAGGCTTATGATGGTCGCTTCCGAGCATGGGTCAAGCAGTGCCCTTGCCGCATCCTTACGGTCCCCGCCACTGCTTAAAGAGACGATGGCCGTGGGGAGCACGACTAGTCATGCTGTCCCGTCCTCTCCAGTTGATTTTGCGCTGGTCGCAGCAGCCTGGAGTGTTGCTGGTCGAACATCACGAGGTGAGGTTGGTTGTGACTCCTCGTTTGTCTGGCGTTGTACTCTTCCAGCGCCCTAGTGGATTAATGTGTGGTGGTCACCGGCGCAACTCCGACAAGTATTGTTGGAAGGGCAGTTTCTGGCAGTGTGACTACTACCAAGGCAGTTGTAGCAGAGGCCTCGTGCAGCCACAAGCTTCCGTCGCTCTTCTGGCTCGAGTCCCCGGAAGGTTATACAGTGGCTGACATAATATGCCTCCTTGCAAGCTGGGCACCCTCCTCTAGTGCGAACCGTACCCGTGGCATGGGTTCGTATAGTCCTTGGAACTATGGGTTGAGCCGTTTTCCTTCGGCCGCTCATGTAGTCGATTGAGGGGGCGGTGGCCACCTGACCGAGAGCGCGCAGAGTGCAGTATCGTCGCTGCAGGAACTCCGTGAATTGGCGAAACGAAGCCTCTCCGGTCATCGATGAGGTGTCGAACGGCATGCTGGGCTCAGGCTCTTCCTCCCAAGCTCTCTTCGTGACCGGGTCAAGGGCGCGCACACCCATGAAGACAAACCAGACATCCCACGTTTGGACAGCTTGATTTAGTCGTTCGAGTTGAGTGCGGCATCTATTCAATTCGTCCATGAGGATCTGTAGTCCTTCGGGTGTTTCTTCTATGAGGGGCCTCAGATTCACAAGCGCGGCTAAGTGGTCCCTCACTCGTAACTTCGGCTGGTCGTAGCGTCGGCAGAGTGCTTCCCACGCCTGCTTGTAGTTGATTGCGATGGAGCGAAAACTTCGCAGTGCCTCCTCGGCTGCCCCCTTGACATTCGTTTTGAGGTAATTTATCTTCGTCGCCTCTCCTAGTGTAGCGTTGTCGTGGACCAGGTCAACGAAAAGATCTCGAAAGGCTTCCCAGTCTTCTGGCTTTCCGCTGAAAGTGGGCAGTTCCAGGCGAGGCAGCTTCGAAAGAGGAAAATCCGTGCCGTGGTCTGCCGCGGTGATGAATGCGCCTGGTGTTGACGTACGGTCCTCGGGTATCGTGCAGCGAACTTGATGATCCAGCAAGACGCCGCGGCTTTCCACGTAAAGCTCTTCTGCCGATGCAAAGGTGTCGCTCAACCGATAGTCTACGGCTGACGCATCGCCGAGGGTGAGAAGTTGTCCATGATTGCGGTGGAAGTCTCGCCAATAACTGTCCAGGAGCTCAAGTCTTGACTCGATGGATCCGAGTGTCCAATTGGTTGTGGGCGTGCTAGCAACCTTTTCCGCAGTCCGCTGGATGGCCCTCTTCAACTCTCGTTGGATGTCTGCAAGCTCCATCTGCCGAGATGCGATTAAAATTCAGTGTGGGAGCCGTGGTTGGGTCAATTCACTCGGTCAGTCAGCTGAAACTTGATACCGACCTCTCGGCTCAAGCTGCCAGAGCGCTAAACCGAGCGAATTCAACCCTGAGTTTTAGGTCGATTAAATGCGGTCGACAAAGAAAGCTCGGTTCGGCGGTCCGACGGCTTGTCGCGCACTTAACGACCTGCCTGCAAAATAATTCAGCCGCTCGCGGCGCCTCGCCGTTCGTGGAGCCTCGTCATTTGCATAGTATTGCTTGCTCTGTCGTGCCGACCATCGCTGCAGGAGGTTCTGCGAGCCAGTGAAAGCGAGAAGTTCCCCTTGGCCCAGCACCTCTTCATTGGACTGGAAGCGACCTGTGAGATAGGAGGCTCAAATGGTCCTATCGTTGTGGCGGGTGGAGTGTGATGAGCGGTTCTGCTACACTGCCCGCTTATCACCAGACAGGTTCTGGTGCAGTGCGACTTGCTGAGCGTCCGAGTATTTGTCTGCAGCGATCGCATGCTGTGACGCCCGCCGATCGGAAATGATGCCATCATCGGCGGCGGCCGCCCGCCGTCGACGCCCGTCATTTACAATGAAGCTGAGCTCTCACGAGTCCCAGCGATCGTTCGAGGCTGCAGCCTAGACACCAGCTTCCGCGGCCGACCCAGTCCCGTTCACCCTTTATCCGTCAAGGAGTCGCGCCCGCATCGCACATAACCCGTCCGTCATAATTCGCACCACCTCCAACTCACCCTGAATTCGTCTTCTTTCCGCTGGCAAATCCGGCTCGAAGGACCAATGGATCGGAAGGTAATGAAAATAAAGCTCAGGGTCAATCGAGAGTTTACTTTAATAATTAAATAAAAGTAAGTAATGTCGTTTTGTAGTCGACGAAGAGTAAAAGAGAACTGACGCAGTTTCGGCTTTTTTCATAAAACAAAAAACAAAACAAAAGAGGAACAGTGCGGAGACAGAGGCGCAGCGCGTTCAGCAGGAAAAAAGCGTAGAGAGCGCCCTCCTTTCCTTAGCCAAATTTAATGAAGTGTTTTCCGTCGTCATTTCCGCCAAACAGAGAAACTAATTAATAGAAAGAACTAACTGAGAGAAAGAATAATGCTTCTCATGAAGAGAGGTTGGGATCCAGTGCAGCGATCTTATAGGGCTGTGAAAGATCTTTTCAGTGCAACATTTAGGGCTGATAGAACTCTAATTTCATTTTCATCAGTTCAAAAAAGTGTTAGATTATTTGAAAATACCGGCACTATTAATGCTCTACCTAGATCAGGCAGACCAAGGTCAGTAAGTGGTGAAGAGAAATCATTAGATGTTTTGTTAACATTTACTACCGTGTAACTGTCCTATCTATGAGCTATTCTCTTATTTTCACTGGATTACTTCAACCCGCTAAACTCGTCAATTTACTTACATCCATTATTGAACGGCGCCACCTCATATATTATTATCTTCGTACCGTAGTAAAATTTCATGACTATATAAGGAGCGTGACGTCACTTACTTATAGTTATAGATATAATAGTTTTTGTTATTTCATTAAAATATGTTTGTTAAGAGTAATTTCGATGAAACAAAGCATTTTTTATATAGATTTTAAGACATAGATTTAGATTATAATAATTTTAATTGCTTTTAACTACTAAATTATATTGAATTTTCATCTGCAAAGTTAATTTGTTTATTACATTGTAAATATTATTATTGTAATAAAGCAGATACTCTAAATTCGAGATGATTATTTAAGAACTATGAGTAAGAATTCGTTTCATTGATAACAGCTTAGAGTTATTACTGTTATCAATAAACAATTAATAATTTATTTAAACAAATAATTGTACGTAGATCGATATATAGTTAGTTTAGTTTATTTATTTACAACTTATATGTTACATTTGGTTTTCATTTCTTACATTACTATTTGTGTCTCGTATCCAGTTTGTGTAGTTGATAATGTATGTGTTGTATGTGTGTGTGCGTGTGCGCGCGCGTGTGCGCGCGCGTGTGTGTGTGTGTGTGTGTTGTGTATACATGTACATATGTATTTGTGTCTGCAACTCTTGCGTCTCTGTCTTCAGCGCCTGTCCTTTCAGCTTTTCTTCCCATATTTTCTATTGATTAATCTTCTCTTCCTCTCTCTCTCTCCGAAATCTGCCTTTTCCGCTCTTCTGTTTTTCTCTTTCTTGCATATTTTCTTTTCAACTTTTTCCTTTATTAATTATATTAGTAATCTTGATCTTAGGAGTCATCCCTATTTTTCCTTTATTACTTTCTTTTGCCTTTTCACCTTTGCCTTTCCTTTGCTTTTGCTCTCATTCTTGCTAATCATTTCATCTATCTTTCTCCTCATTAGGGCTTTGATACCTTTTTCTTATTTCCTATTGCTTCCTCTGCCTTTCCTTTCCTCAACCTCACTTATTTTTCCTTAGTATCTTATAATTTGTCTTCTAATTTACCTTTTTCTTTCTCTTCTTCGATTCTTTTTCTTTTCCATTTTGTTCCATCGTCCAATACCTGCTTCCTCTCGCTTGTGTAGTTGCTAGTACTTGTGTTTTGTGTATGTGTATGCATGTATATGTTTATGTTTGCGCGTGTGTGCGTGTTTTGTGTGTATGTGTGTGTATGTGTGTGTATGTAGATGTGTCTGCGAGTCTTGCTTCTCTATCTTCTGTTTCTGTCTCTCCTTAGGGTCTTGCAGTTTCGTCTTCTTGTTTTTCTTTTTCTTTCTTCTCTTCATTTCTTCTTCTTTTCCATTTTATCTCCATCATCCACGCTATCTTTTTTTTGCTTCCTATTATTATTTTTTCCCATTCTTACCCTTCCTTTCTGCTTTTTTCACATTTTTCTACTATGTGTTTCCAATTTTCTTCCTCTTTCATACACATTCTGCATCTCTTATTTTCTTCTTTTTCCCAATACCTGCTTCCTCTCGTTTCATTACCTAACCTAAACCTTTCCCTTATTTGTAGGCCTTTTATTCTTCCCTCTTCTTAAATTTCCTTTAACCTATATTTTTCATTTCTTCTTTCATTTCTTTCCACTCGTTTATGTATCATGATTTTTCTATTTTTTCTTCTAGTTCTTTTTCTTCTTTTTTCTTTAGCTCATCTCTTATTTCTTCCCAAAACTCTTCCCTCATTTCATCTCCCTCTTCCCTCTCTCTGTATATTTTACTTTTTTCTAGCCTTTCCTCTCTCTCCTCCTTTTTACCCATTTATCTTTTCCATTTCTTTCCCTTTTCTTTAGTTCTCTCCATGCTTCTTTTTTTATTGAGCCATCTCTTTCTTCTCTTATTTTGTTTTCATACCTCATTGCTCTTTCTAATGCTGTTTCTTTCATTTCTTGTCTTCCTGTTTCCCATCGTATTAAGTAACTTGGCGTGTTTCTATCTAATCCTAATACCCACTTTATGTATTTTAGTTGTAGTCTCTCTATTTTTTCATATC